GGCGCGGGGGGGGGCCGTCGGGCCCGCCCCCCCCCCGCCCCCGTCCAAACCGAGGGGCCGCCGCCGGCTCCACAGGTCAAGATCCAGCCACGGCCAGAGGGAGAGGAGCCATCGCGCACGCCGCTCCACCCGGCCCCGGCAGCTCACTTGCGACGCTTGGTGGTTTTCCTCTTCCTTCTCTTGAAGAAACAGCAGCACCTGGGGACAGAGGGGACCCCGTCAGCGCCTGAGCCTGGACACAGACGGGCTCAGCGCCCCCGCGGTCAGGGCAGAGCCGGTGGAAAGGGGAATGGAAACCCCTCGGCATCTTGGTGAGCCGCACGTGGGCAGAGCTGCTCCGGGAAGTGCCTCTGGTACACGGCAGGGGCTGCACCGGGAGCACCGCGATGGCCACGGCGAGTGACACGGACCAGGGTGAGTGACGCTGGCCACGGCACACAATGCCAGCCGTGGCAAATGCCAGTGGCCGGAGCTGTGGCCAGGCAGGGGCTCCTGGAGAGGGAATGGCCCCGGATCCGTGCGTGCCCCTCTGCGCTGGCTCTGAGGAGGAGGCGTGAGCCCCGGGGCCGGGCAGGGCGAGGTGGGAAGGGGCTGGGGGTGGCAGTGGCCCTGCAGGGCCACCCCTCGTGGGGTCCCAGGGACAAGCAGTAGTTATTTGCTCTGGAGCTGTGCTGTTCCTCCCCAGAGGGGGCTGGACAAGGCATCGCAGCGCAGCTGCCGAAACCCGCGTCCGTCCCGGCCCCGGCGAGGGGGAGGCAGCGGGGCTGTGTCCTTACTTTGTATCGTCTGTCACCTCCACCTCGGTGGGGGCTGTGATGGGGGCGTTTGAATGTCCTGCCGTCGGGTCGTCCGTGTTCAGCTCTCCGTTGGTGGAGCTCATCACCTGGGGAGAGGCGAGCGTCAGCACGGGGCAGCCCGCGGGGCACAGGCCGTTCCTTGGCCTCGTCCCCTGCCCCGCGGCAGCTGCGTCCCGGGGAGGTGCAGCCCCAGGAGGCGGCACGGCCCCCCCAGCCCTGTGCGAGCCGGGAGCACTGAGGTCCCCAGGCAGGGCAGCAGAATGGTGCCCTTGCCCAGACAGCAGCACTTGGCCTCGGTGCTGAGCGCTCCCAAGCAGCTCCAACGGACAGAGGGGTTTGGTCACCTCGCCACCTCTGGGAGGATCCTGGCTCCTGGGAACCCCTGCACAGCCCACCGGGAGAGGGGCTTACCGGCAGCCAGCTCCAACGTGCCCCAGAGACACAGCCCCGCAAAGCTGTTAGCTCCGAGGAGACCCTGCCATGGCCGAGCAACCGGACACAGCTGTTGTTCCCCAGCCCCAAGGCCCAACACCGCCAGGCCCTGTGGGACTCAGCCCAGCGCCCACCCTGCGGGCTCCTGCCAGCCTGGAGGTGCCCCAAGCTCCTGCCCGCTCGCCGGGGCAGCGGGGCCATGTGTGGTGCCAGGGCCGGGAGGAGATCCAGGTCACCAAAGCAAGGACGGGGCTGGCACAGGCAACAGGGACTTGCCTGAATCCCCCCTCCTGCGCCCGCTGCCCCCAGGCAAAGCCAGGAGCTCCCTGGGGATGCGCAGGCCAAAGGATCGCCAAGCTGCTCATACCCGGCGAGGAGGCTCGGCCTTACCCAGACTTGTGGAGGAGCTGCCATCTGACAGCCACAGTGCCCAGCTGGCAGGGCTACGTCAAGCTACAGCCCCCCGAAACAAGCCCGGAGACCCCCTCTGCATCACCAACACCCCCCCTGCAGTGCTGGGCGCAGGCGGAGGACGGGGGGAGGTTTGCAGAGCGAGAGCAGGGAGCAGCCGCTGTGGCAGGGAAGGACGCGGTACGGGAGGAGCGGGGCAGAGCGCGAGCTGGCCCCACGGTCTGCCCCAGCCCTGCAACAGCAGCGGCGGGAGCTGGGCCCGAGCCCAGGACTGAGCACCAGCAGAGATTCACTGTGGAGCAGCAGGAACGAGCAGCAGCGGCGGGGACAGAAGCAGAGACGGAGGAAACAGCGCAGGCCCAGCTTGGGAGGACCCACCATGGATGCCCTGCCATCCGTGTGGGCCAGATCCCACCAGCCCAATGGGGCCGAGCGGTGGAGGGCAGAAGGCTGCGAGGGCGGCGAGCACGTGGCTGACGGCGCAAGTGCAGGACCGAGGCAGGGAGACGAGGCCGAGGACTGCCCAGGGAAAGGAGGAGAAGCAGGGCTCGAAGCCGTCACTCCAGTCAAACAAGGAGGCACAGGGAAGTCCCCACATGGGATAAGGCCGCGTTGTCCGGCACTGCTGGGACGAGCAGCACTGGGGGCAGAGCCTGATGCCCACACGGGTGCTCCTGCCGCTGAGTGCCACGGAGCCAGCGCTTTGTCCATCTCTAACCGCCCTCCGAGTCCCACCGGCAGCACTAAGGGAGCCCAGCAGCCCCCGGGAAGCAGCGCCAGCCTCGTCTGCGAGCCGTGAGCATCACGCACCACGGGGACAGGGCAGCACAGCCCCTGGGTCCACGTGTTGCAGCCTAGGCAAGACCCCAGGCATGCGTGGCCCCGATGCCGCCCTGGGGCAGGGGAACGGGGCTGATCCCCTGGCACGGTCGGCAGACACACGACGGCTTGCGCCCGGCTGCGTGGGCAGGTCGCATGGCGCAGGTTGGCTCTGCTCCCTCCCGCGCCCGCCCCTGCCCTCGGCGCGTGGTTGCATGTACCTGGACGGACCCCCCGAGCCTGCCGGCTGCCAGGTGAGCTCCCAAAGGCTCCTCGGCAGGCTGCCCACTGGCCTGAGGATCCCACAACTCCGTCCCCTCGGGCGGCTGCTCGCGACAGGCAGGAGGAACAGAATGAAAAGAAATAAAAGAAAAGAGGAAGAATGGGGAAGAGAAGGGAGAGGTGGAGGGAAGGGGCAGGGAGAAGAGTGGCAAAAGGAGTCGAGAAAATAAGACATGCAAAAGCAAAAACATGACCGGAGCAGCTCGAGTTTGTGATTGCGGAGGGCACGCGGGCAGCACCATCCCGGCGGCTCCCCAGAGCGGTCCCTGCGGTGACGCCGTGGGTCTGCATCCTCCCTGCCACGTACATGCGCACACGCAACCCCCAGCCATGGAGCTGGGCTCTTCCTCCGCACCGGGAACGTCCTCTCCGGGCAGCTGAGGGCACGCTGCCCCGCAGAGCACGGCCAGACCCGCGCAGGGCCGGCGGCTGCATTTCGGACAGCAGTGTCACTTGCTGTGTGAGGAGGTGCAGCCGGGCTGAGGCGACGCTGCCGGCCGCTCTCCTGTGAGCGCAATGTTCCAAGGCCGACGCGGATCTTTGCGGGGCGACTGCGAGGAAGCGAGCTGTGCTGCTCCTCAAGGGCACCGGGCTCCTCAGCTGTCCGACAGCGCGGGAGCACCCTGCTGCCAAGCGCTTGCCACTCTGAGCACAGCACAGCCCCTCTGCATCCCCTGGTTGGAAACTGCTCCCACGCTGTGGGAGTTTTCTGCTCTGCTTTTCCCACTGCCCTCAAGAAGGGATGACGAACATGGCATTTCTTGGATGCTGGAGGCAGAGAGCAGATCTTACTGGGAGGAAGTTCCCAGGAATGAGCCAGAGGTGCTTTGGAGACATCGCCCTCTCCCTAAGGAAGCGCTGCCCAGCTGCTGGCCAGCGAGAGCCAGGGCTGTCCCAGGCTCCCTGTGCTCGGCCCACAGCAGCAAGGAGCATCGCTGGGCCGATAAGATGGGTGAGGGAGGACAGGGTGCTGCACCCTCAGCTCCAGCCCGTTTGCAGGTGCTCTGCTCCCCATGGAGGTTCAAGGCAAGAGGATGAGGGTCTGTACGGGACTGCTGGGGAAACGCGTGAGGTTTGCTTTTGATGGCAGCAGTCCCAAAGCCGTGTTTCCTGCACCAGGGTAGGACAGGCCATGGCACCAGAGAACGGCCGGGCGGCCCAGCCCCTTTCCCACAGCGACCCAGGCAGGGAGCTGCCTGCACAGCTCTGCCCGTCTCCCTGCCCCGGGCTGCTCCCAGCTCAGCCCCACGTGCCCTGCCGGTTCCCAGGGCAAAGCCAGCCCCGCTCTCCAGCACAGGGCTGCTCGCTGCCCAGCTGCCCCGTGAATCCCCCCCAGGGCCAGGCAGCCCTCTCCCTTGTCTTGTGTCCCCGTCCCATTGATGAAAGTGGCACCATCAACAGAGCAGCAAGTTACTCCCACGGGGACGCGGCACTGGGGACATTGCCCTCAGCCTGTGCCGCGCCCACACCCAGCGGCCAGCGCTAAACCCTGCAGCTTGCCAGCTGAAGCTCAGGCCTAGCACTTCCCCACCGTGCTACAGCCTCCTACGGCTGCTTCCTCCGGCTTCTGCCAGGCCGCCTGCCCCAGGGCCGCTGCCCTGGTCCCCCTGCTAGCCACAGACCCAGACCTGCGGGGGGAAGCCCTCCCACAGACAGCACTGGGGAAAAAAGGATGCCCCAGTCCCTGCCTCCAATCCAGCGGCCCCGCTGGGCTCTGAGTCTGCAGAGCAGAAGCCTGAGCTGTGCACGACCACGGTCCTGTGCCCCAGCCGAGGCAGCGCCACCACTCACCTGGTGTTTGGTGTGTGGCTGTGCTTTGTCTCTGTTCGGGGGCTGCACCTGCACCTCGCTGTGCATCGTGCCGATGGGGGTGGGCTGGGAACACGACAAGGACAACATCAGCCACGGCACAGCAGCCCTCCCGCCGCCCCGCGCCCCCGATCCAACCTCTGGCCAAACATGCAAAACACCCCAGAATCGGGGTCCGATCCCAGCCCCCACCCCCGCCCCAGCAGCTCCACGCTTGGTGTTTGGCTGCAGCGAGCCCATGGAGGGGGCCCATGGCAGAAAGCGAGGTACCAACTCGACTGCTGGGTTCCCCTTAGCTCCAGGAGCCTCCAATTTCTGTGTCACAGCTTTAACTCATTGGCACAACAGCTCCAGCTTGGAGCTGGCTGCTGGTGTCCAGTGAGGACTGGCAGAGCTGATCTCTTGGGCACAGACATACGGGGCAGGGACGACTGCCGACCTGCATCCTCCCTGGCTGCTGCCGCAGACCATGCTGACTCCCCACCACGCTTCCCACCGCCCCTCGGGCACCCTGGGGCCCAGCACCCTCTGCCTGCCTTCGCTCCCTCGCCACTCACCAGTGGCTTCCCTGCCCAGTCGTATTCATAGTCGAACACGTAACCGTTCCTCTCGAACAAGTCTGTGAAGAGCTTCCGCAGGTAGTCGTAGTCAGGCTTCTCGAAGAAATCCAGCCGCCGCACGTAGCGCAAGTACGTGGCCATCTCCTCTGCGGGGACAGAGCGAGCTCAGTTGGGGCAGGGAGACAAGATGCCAGGCCGGTGGGCTCTGGGGCCCGGCTGGGGACAGGGACAGGCCATGCAGAGAGCCCTCACCTGGGAAGTTCTCACAGAGCACCTCCACTGGAGTGGCTCTTTTGGTGTCGCCGATCTTCTGGTACCTCTCCTTTAGCGTGTCAGCCTGGCAGAGACAAGGAGCAGGTCAGCACGAGGGCCCGGCACATCCCCGGGAGCAGGGAAGGCACTAGGTGCCATTAAACTATGAACTGTTTCTTGGTCCCCCTTTTCCAGGTTCCCAGGGAATCCCCTCACCCAGGGCAAGTCTGGAAGGTGAACACTGGGGAGTGCGGTTCCAGTACAGCCACTGTGCCAGCAGCTGGGATACCCGCAAAGCGGGAGGGACACAGAGAGGGGGACACCTACAGCCGCTCAGCACAGCAAGGGCCTGGCACAGAGCTCAGAGCAACAGCCCCTGCATCTGGCGGGGTGCCAGCCCTCCGACACCCCGCGGGCCAAAGCTTTCCCCTCCCCACACCCCGATGCTGCCCATGCCAGGGCAGAGCCGGACCCACAGGGCAGCCGTGCCCAGGACAGCGGGAGCTGGCAGTTACCTTGAGGCCTTGCCAAGGAAGGCTCCCACGGAGGAAGTACATAAACATGTGCCCTAATGCTTCCAGGTCGTCCCTGCGGCTTTGTTCTGCGTGGAGAAAAAAAGAGACACGGGCACGTTCCCACTACAGCCACCTTCCCTGTCCCTGCCAGACCCTGCAGCACCCCAAGTCACAGAATCATAGAACCACAGAACGCTTTGGGATGGAAGGGACCTTTCAAGGCCATCCAGTCCTTCCCCCCTGCAACTGGCAGGGACATCTTCAACTGGGTCAGGTTACTCACAGCCCCGTCCAGCCTGGCCTTGAATGTTTCCAGGGATGAGGCATCTACCACCTCTCTGGGCAACCCCTTCCAGCACTTCACCATCCTTGTCATAAACAATTTTTTTCCTTATATCTAGTCTAAATCTACCCTCTTTTGGTTTAAAACCATTGATCTTGTCCTGTCACAGCAGGCCTTGCTAAAAAGACTATCCCCATCTTTCTTGTAGGCCCCCTTTAAGTATTGGAAGGCTGCAATAAGGTCTCCCTGCAGCCTTCCCTTCTCCAGGCTGCACAACCTCAGCTCTCAGCCTTTCCTCACAGCAGAGCTGTTCCAGCCTCTGATCATTTATTGTAGCCTCCTCTGGCCCCGCTCCAACAGCTCCATGTCCTTCCCGTGCTGAGGACCCCCAAGCTGGACGCAGGGCTCCAGGGGGGTCTCCCCAGAGCGGGGCAGAGGGGCAGAATCCCCCCCCTCGTCCTGCTGGCCACGCTGCGGGGGATGCAGCCCAGGAGACGCTTGGCTTTCTGGGCTGTGAGCGCACATTGCCGGCCCATGGCCAGCTTTTCATCTATCATCAGTACCCCCAAGTCCGTCTCCTCAGGGCTGCTCTCCATCCCTTCATCCCCCAGCCTGTGCTGATAGTGGGGGTTGCCCCGACCCAGGTGCAGGACCTTGCCCTTGTTGAACCTCATGAGGTTCACACAGGCCCACCTCTCCAGCTTGTCCAGATCCCTCTGGATGGTAGTCCTGTGCCAACATCCCAGGCTGGAGAGCAGGAGAGACAGTTTGTCCCTCTGGCATGGGGAAGCTCACACCCTGCAGTCCCCTTCCCTCTCCCTTTTGGCCAAGGGGCAGGGCTGGCCGCACGGCGCGCACACACCTTTCCCGAGGTGGGTGTTGATGCTCATGTAGCGTGCTGTCCCTGTCAGGCTCTTGTGCTCTCGGTAGGGGATGTGTTTTTTGGTCTCGGGGTCAATATACTCTTTGGCCAGGCCAAAATCAATGATGTGGATGGTGTGCTGCCGCTTGCTGCCCGGCCGCCCCACCAGGAAGTTCTCTGGCTTGACGTCTCTGTAGATCAGGCTTTTGGTGTGGACGTACTCCATCCGTGTGATCTGGGGGGGCAGAAGATGTCAGCACCACGGCAGATGCACCGTGCATCCTGCACGCATCCGTGCACCCCCCTCCCTGGGCCCGACTCTGCTCCGATTGCCTCGCCCCCAGCCAGCAACCCTGCTCCCCTCAGCCCGTACATCACCCTGGGTTGAAAGGATGGGCCCAACAGGTGCTCCAGCCCTGGGAGACAGCCTCAGTCCGGCTGCATCTCGGACACACAGCAAGAGATGGTTGGCTGTGCTTAGAGAGGGGCTGCGTGGGGGTGAGGGAGAGCCCTCCTGCACCAGGGAGAGGGCAAGGTGTGGAGGGGGCAGTCTGGGATGTGCCAGCAGGCAGTGTCTCCTGTGGCCCGCCGGGTGCTGGCTCACCCCTCCTTCCCCTCCCCTTCCCTGCAGGGTCCCCACGCAGCCTGACGGCCGTGCCCACGCATCACCCTGCTCCTCCAGGGCAGTCTGCGGCCAGGCGGGCCGGGGTGAGCCGCGCAGAGCCGCAGGCGAGGCGGAGGTGCTGTGCTCACCAGCTGGATTGCAATCATCAGGACGGTCTTGAGCGTGAAGGTCCGATCACACAGATCAAAGAGATCTTCTAGGCTGGGTCCTAGCAGCTCCAACACCATGGCGTTGTACTTCCCGCAGGGGCCAAAGTAGTAAACCTGAGGAATTCCTTCTGCAAGAGATGGAGCAGGGGCTGTCGGGGGTTGCAACGGGGCTGAGCAGCACACGGCCATGCTGTTGTGGCCATGCCATTGCTGGAGCTGGGACGGGGGGCTGCAGATAGGGGGATGTCTCTGCACTGCCCTCCCTCCTTGCCGCAGACAGCTTGGTTCTGCTCTTGGCAGGAGGGGGAAGGAGGCAGCTCCATCTGCATGTCTAACTGCTGCGGGGGAGGTGGGGGGAAAGAACTAAATAAAAAGGGATCAAAGATTAGACGTGGCTCTGTGTAAAATCGGCCTCTCCCAGCCGAGCAGATGGGCAGGAGTCGTTCATGCCAGGGAGTGAATCTGCAGAGTCACATTTACAGGAAGCCTCCCTTTCCTAGCCGTGCCGCCTGGGTGGCCGGCTCCCCGTGGCAGCTCCTCCCGGCCCCATACCTGCATTGCCGAGCTGTTTGTAGAACCGATACTCCAGGTGCAGCTGGGGGGCCCGGGATTTTATAGGTTCCTTGGAGGAGAGAAGGAGAACAGTTAAGGCTGTTGTAGGGAGCAGGACGTTAGGGAGGTCTGGGTGTCAAGAGACCCCCTTCACATGCTGGCAGCAGCTGGACTGAGAGCATTTTGGGTTGAGAAAAACTGGTATAAAATGGAGGTGAAGCCTCAGGGGACGGTGAGAGAAAACCAGCCCACATGGGAGCCAGACCCACCCCCTCCAGAGAGACCCGGGTGCTGGGGCAGACATTAATGGGAGCAGGTATCAGTGGGGACCACGCTCTCCTGGAGATCTTTCTGCTGCTGGCACCAGCTGAGTGCAGCACAGGCCACAGCGAAGTCCTGGAGAAACAAAGACCCAGCTCTTCTCTCCCTGGGCCCAGATCACCCCACCTGCAATGACGTGTGTTGCTTCGCCTGCCCTCAATTCCTAGCAGTGAGCACAGCTCCCTGCGCAGCCACCCATCCATCACCCATCGCAACCCACGCGGCTCGACCCGCTCTAACAGCCTGGGGAGGGTGAACAACCTCCTTCCCAGGCGGCCTGAACATCACCGCCCTGACCACGGAGGGACTCACCAATTTGATAGCTACGTATTCATTCGTGTAGAGGTTCTTTCCTGCAGGAGAAACACAAAAAAGGCAATTGAAAGCAAGTGAGCCTTTGGATTAACCCCACTTCATACCCGCCGCAGTCCCCTGAGGGTTCCTGGGCTGCAGAACATCCCGAACAGGTTCGGTGACTCCCTCAGCACATAAACAGGCCTTGAGGCATGAGCGGGAGCAGGAACCCACTGCTGGGAGTTGCAACATGCCTGTTAATTACCCCCAGCTGGGGTACATGGATTCCTCTGGGATGGGCAGGCTGCTGGGGGGCTGGAGCCAAGTCTCCTGGGAGGGGCAGCATCCCAGTCCAGGCCTGCAGGGGTGCGACTGGCCAAGGCAGGACCAAGCTGGGACTTGCTGTTTCTCCCAGCCACATCCCCGCATGGAGAGGGGCTGCCCTGCTCTGGGAGGGCTCCCAGAGCTGGGGGATGCTGCTTTGTGGGCAGCGGGACCAGCAGAGGATGGCAGGGAGGAAGGACCCCCACGAGCACTGGGGCTCCTCGAGGCACTGCAGCTGGCAGTGGTTCCAAGACACCGCAGGTAGGTGGAAATCCCTTCCCCAGGGCTGGGGTCACTCCTGGGGATGACACCTGCGGCTCAACCTCATCCTTTGGGATGTTCCCACCCACCTGAGGGTGCAGGGGAAGACAGGAGCCGACCCACAGCCCGGCCCAGACCGTACAAGGAGCAGCTGAAGGCACCGATGCGCTGTGGGGAGGGACAGACAACTGCCTCCAAGTGCCCAGGAGAGCTGAAAGGGCAGCCACGCCACCCCAAAACCCTGCAAATGACTTCCTAGAGAGCTCAGCACCTTCACGGGAGTTTCCACACCCGTAACTACAGAAAGGTTGAACTAACGGTGTCTGCACATCACCCTGCTCACCCCAGAGAGCCAGGAGGGCAGGAGGAAGGTGTTACACCTGGGAAGCGTCAGTGCAACCTCTGCCCCCATCCATAAAGGCAAAGATTAAAGAGGTTTGCAAAAATATCCGAGTGCCCCTTCTGCCAGAACCCTCCAGGACACTGGGGAGATGGGAGTTAACCGCAGCAGGTCCCCTTCCACGGCAAGCAGAGCCAGCAGACACGCGATCCCACTGCCTGGCATGTGCGTATCTGATGGAGCTGCATCTGTCTCCTCGGATTTTCTCCAAGCAATTTGCTCAGGGAACAAGCTCCTCCTGGCATAAGATTTCATCTGCTCCGATTGCTGCTCTCCACCTGAAGCAGCAATAAATCCTCGCCGGGTGACATCAGAGCCAGCTGCTGAGCGCCAGAGTCGGAGGCAGGATTACGGGAAGAGGGATGAATGGGAGATATTAATGGAGCAGCTCCTCCCAGGGACGGGCTCTGCAGCCAAGGAGGGGCTCGATCCTGCTGCCTGGCTGACCCTCTCCCATCCCAGGGGACCTCCGCCAAGCCACTTTGTCTCCTGCCTCTGCAAAACCAAATCCCTTCACAGTGATTAGGAAGTAGGTGATTAGGGAGGGAGAAACGTCTGGCTAACACAAGCGTACGCCAGACCCAGGGTTTCTGGCCCATCATGGACCGACAGTTCCTGGGGAGGAGGTGCGATATCCCCCAGACCCATGCATGGCTCCAGAGAGCTCAAGGAAACCCTCAGTTCATTGGGAACTTGGCTGGGGCAGGGAAGAACTGAAAGCCCGATGGAGCCCAGTGCAGCCCCCTCGTCCCCACCATGAGCCGTCACCTCCCAACGACTTAACGTCACCTCCCAACGACTTAACAGGGAGAGAAGGCAGCAAGCCGGCAGGGAGGAGAAGCGTGTGCAGGCAGCTTATCTTCCACGCACCAGGACTTCTGTGTTTTGCAAACAATTGCAAGGGAGAGCAAAACAGCCCCACGCGCCGGCCGGGATGCAGGGTCAGGCAGAGCCCAGCCAGGCATCGCCCTGCCCATGACAACGGCACAGGGTCCCCACGTGCTCCCCGGCTAAGGTGGGCTCCGGCCTCAGGGCTGTACAGTTCAGTCCAAAAAAATCACTGCTGCCTTCAGGGCAGTAACATGCAACCAGAAAACTCACAGCTGGGTTTTCCCTGAGATTAGGCCAGGTCTGAAGAAGGCAAAAACTACCATGGCAGGATACCTGCCACCGGGGCACTGCAAAACCGGCCCAGCACAGCAGGGAGGGAGAAGGGAAGGAGGCAGGAGCATCCCCAGCAGGGCTGTGCTCGGAGAGGTCCACCCCTGTCCCTGTTACGTGGCACCGGTCCTGTTCCCACCACGCTGGGCCCCCCCCGTGGTTTGCTGGCACAGAAAGCTACCTGCAAACACGCTCTGGGAGCTGGCAGCCCTCTCCCAGCCCAAGAAACAAGTCCAAATCATTTGATAACCCCATGGTTCATCCTGTCCGGTAATGCTCAGAGGGCTTGGACAAAGCTGATGGAAAAGATGGGACACACAAGAGAACACTGACCGTTGCTGCTGTCTAACCACCACCATCCTCTTCCCCCTCCCCAATAAAGAAAAAGGAGCGAAGAGCAGAACGGGCCTATCATGAGAAAAAAAAAACAGGGAAGAAAAAGCAAAAGAGCAAGGAGGCAGGGCTGGGGGTCCTTCCTCCAGCCCGGCCTGGCCCACACTGGGGACCTTCCTGCTCCAGCTGCCGGAGCAGCTCCCGCAGCCGCCCCCGTGCCACCCGCTCTGCCCAGCGTTCACTAACGATGATAACTTCAACACCTAAAACGTGTTGGAGTCCATGGACTGCCCCAGTGGAGGACTCAAGCAGGCAGCACTGCAGGATTCACAGAAAAGGTGTTTTTGAAAGCAAAAAAAAGAGAAAAGAGGCAAGGTGAGCAGCACAAAGCAAATATTTGCGTTTGCAGAAAGGCCTTTGCCCAGCTCGGTGCTGGCGGCGCCTCCGAATCCAGCTGCCAGCACCTGCAAGACACGGCGTGTCCCATCAGAGCCGAGCCAAAGCCACCCGTTGGAGGAGGCGGCCAGACCTGGGGTCCGTATCGCATTTAAAAGCCGGACATGGCTTTCTCTTAACCCTGTGCTAACACCCAAATCATCCCCGTCCCGAAGGCGGATTTGGCAGCGGTGCGGTCCGGCACCTGCTCCTGCACATCACGGTGGCCTGAGGAGAAGCCAGGCTCTGCGCCGGGCTCCCAGCCGGGTCCCCATCCAAGCGACTCCCCCTGTGCCAGCCCCTCTGCCTGGCGCTGCCCCTCGGCTGGGGCACAGCGCGGGGCGCAGCACCGCACCAGGAGCCTCTGTCTGCTATGGCTCTGAGTCACACCTAGGCACCAGGACCAGCAATTTGGCTTCTCCAGTCCCCAGGCGATGCAGTTGAGGAGCGCGGGAGAAGGCAGCTTGCTGCGAAGGCAGCCGGGCACCGGCCCAGCACTCCAAGCACCGCAGCCCTGGCGACACAAGCTGCATCGGTCCAAGCAATGACAGCTCCTTGGAGCACTGGGTTTTAATATCATCGGGGGGAAAAAAAAGAAGTTATTTTAGAGTTTGACCTTGCCCTAGAGGAGGCTCTGAAAGACCAAGAGGAAAAACAAGCGTGAGCCATTAGCAAGGGAGGCCTGAGGAGCAGTCAGCAGGCAGCGCGCGGGCTCTTCTCTCCCACAGCCTATTCCAAAGACGCCCGTGAGCCGCTGCCGGCGTGCAGTGGGTCTGCGGCTCCGACCAGCCAGCCGCTTTTACAGGTGGCTGAGCCCTTCGCCATACGTGCTCCCGTACAGAGGTCTCTGCGGAGCTGAAGACAGAAGGGTGGCACGTGCAGCGTGCTGAGCCCAGCCTGCGTTTTCTGAACGTACCTTTTGTGGCCGCCGAGGAGTAACCCCCCGCGAGTCCCCAGGCCAGGGGTGAGAGCCACAGCTCAAAAGAGCTTGGGAATGTCCCCAGCTCTCGCACGTGACCATTCATCTGGGACATGGTCCCAGCCCAGCTGTAGTAGTGACCTGCTGCTGGCTCATACACAGCACAAGGATCCACCCCTGCCCCCGTTTTCTTCCCTCCAAAATGCTGGGTTTACTTTTTAAAAATAAGTTAATTTCCAGCTTTTAACTTTGAAGGAAAACAGCCACTGTGTTTCCAAGCTGCCATTAGAAATGAATGCATGAGGCTGGGGGAGAGGGGTGAGCACAGCAAAGCTGCAAAAAGCACATTTGCGGACGTTTATTGCAGGAAGAACAGAAGCAGCAGCTTCTGCTGAGTCCCTGTCCCTCCCCAGGCTGAGGTTGCCCCAGGGCAGCTCCGTAGCACAGCCTCACCGGAGCTCCGGGCTCCAAAGCACGGCTGCGACGCAGCCCAGCACCAGGCAGAGCTTAGGGAAGGAGGCTTGCATACCACCCAGGTGCTTTGGGATCATTTTTGACCTTTCTGGTTAATGTCTGGGTTTTCCTCCTCTTCTCCTATCCCAGCCCACCCCAAGGCACCACCAAGGACCTGCTAAGAGGGGCCTGCTCCAACAAACCCTCGCTGCGAGCAGTACGTGCTGGCCTTGCTCCCAGGGGCACAGGGAGCTGGCAGAGGCACCGAGCTGCAGGCTCCTGCTGCTCAGCCGTAGCCCGGTGCCAGGGCACACGAGCCACCAGCCACACTCCCGTCACCCCCGCTGCCACCAGCTTCCTCCTGCCTTGTGTTTCAGAGGGCAGCATCCAGCCCTGGCATGGAGGCGGGCTGGCTGCAGGCAGAAGATGGGCAGGGGGGAAGCTCGGGGGGCTGCAGGCAGCAGGTGCTGCCCAGGGCTGCCTTTGGAAAGCCCCAGGAGGAGCTGGGCTGGAGCTCGCCCACCGCTGCAGGCTGGCAGGGGGAGGAACGAGCACTTTGGATATGCTGGCCGAGGCACGGTGCCCTGCCCAGCTCAGGGTGAAGCACCAGGATGGGGTGACCAG